ACTCTCCACCTAAATTCATCTCCACAAGTATTATTTGACTTTTATATAAGGCCTACCAAGTCTAATCTGTGTTTCCCAAGTGCCCTGGTATGTCATTCTATCCCTTGACATCTTGTCAACCTACCAGGCAACACATCAGTAAAGAAAACTGATGCCCCCTCTCCCAACAGCTATCAATACCAACAAATCCTTGGGTAGGGCTGGGCTTTTTGCTCACCTCCTTCATCCATGTTTGGTTTTTGTATGGCTTGGGGTTTGACACAGTCTTGTGCATGCTGTCACAAGTACTGTGGGTTTATGTGTGCAACTACCTTGTGGTGTTCAGACAACAAAGTTTCCTTGTATTCATCTAGCATGTCTGATTCTCACCTTTTTTCTGCGCCCTGTTCCACAACCACTTGGGAGGAGAGGGTATGATATAGGTGTCCTATTTCGCCTGAGCACTCCACTGTTACTTATTCTCTGGATGTAGACCAGTTGTGCATCTCTATGTTAATCACCATCTACTGCAAGAAAAATCTTCTCTAGTGAAAGCTAAGTGATACACTAATCAATGGGTATAACTGTAAGTCACTGGGAATCAGTTAATACTGTTTATTTGATAGAATAATGCTAATAGAGTCTCCCTTATTGGCCTGGGACCAATACATTTTGATCATATTCAGACCAAATGTAAGATCTGTGTAGTTACAGGTTCTTGCTCCTGATAACAGTGTCAGGTATCGACTCCATCTTTTGAAGTGGCTCATAAAAACCATCAGAAAGTAATTGGTTACTCTCATAACATTCATGTAACTATTGTATCAGTGGGCTATTTTTTTGCCAAACAAGTTGTCATTGTAGTTTGCAGTGTTCACAGCTGGGTAGGGTTGATGATTACTTTTCTCTGCTGGTAACATGCACAGTAACTTCTAGTACTATGAAAACTAACCAGGAGAGATGAAGCTTTGAGGTTAGCACCAGCTTGATTTCTCCTTGTTTTACTACTCAAGTATGCAGCATCTTCAGTAATAGGGTCTTACCATCAAGTTCTGGAAGGTAACCAAGTGCAATGGCAATGTCCAGTATTGTTTGAGGGTCTACAGGACTTCTCTGGTCAACAACTTCAAAAGATGGAGCTCCCTCCTGTACATACACATAAAGGACTCTATATCCTACCAAATGGATACCTGTTCATCCATGCCCCTTGCTGCTCTATTCAGAGCTGTGAGGAAATGGAAACAACCTAGATGTCCATCAACTGATGAATGGATAACGAAATATGGCACATTTACACAATTGAATATCACTCAGCTGTTAAGTAAAACAGAAGTATGAAATTTGTAGGTAAATGGACACAACTGGAAATAATCATCCTGAGGGAGGTACCCCAGACCCTGAAAGAGAAACATCACATGTTCCCTCTCATAAGTGAATTCTAACTTTGATTCTTTAAATAGGTAAATTTCAATTGAAAAATCCTTAGGGATGAGAAAACTAATAAAAGACCATGGGAGGGTGGTTCATGGGATGGGAGCTAGACTGCAGGGTTATAAATGGAGCAAAGGGCATAATGGGATAAAATGTGTTTAATGGAGTGGAGAACTGGGAGGATAGGGAAGAAGAGGAAATAAGAAGAGGAATAACTAACACTAAAGGTCTTTTTGGAAAAAGTCAGATGGAAACCTACTACAGAAGCTTTTTTCAATATATACATGTATAATATAAAAATAGTTTAAATGCAATTATCCTATAACAGGGTTCAGTGGCCCTAATTGACAACATAGACTAGCAAATGAAAAGCCAAATGCCAATAATTTATCACCATTTAAAAAATCCTTTTTTAAAAATTTTAGACTGACAACACTAATTATAAACACAAAGTTTGTGGTATATGTCAGCTATTTCTTAAATATCGTGAGTAGGCTTTATTCATTGTATTCAGAATTAGTAATCTTTTGAGTTTGGATTTTTCAGATATAGAAAGATTTGCAAATGCGTGCATACTGGGATATTTTGGACATGGAACATGAATTTCTTTATTTGCATTTATGATTGTGATCTCTCACATAGGGATGCACAGAATATTCTGTTTGTGGTATCATGCTGTCACTCAAAACTTTTTCCAATTTGAAGTTTTCAGATTACAGTTTAGTGTTAATCAATCTGCAATGTTTCCTTGAAAAGTATTCATATTCATGAAATGCATATACAGATAGCCTTGTATGTATATTCATCATTCTATTTAGAAATACAAATCATGATCTTTCACGGCAGTGACAGAAGTGTAAGTTAAAAACTTTCTGGGGCTGGAGAGATGGCTCAGCGCTTAAGAGCACTGACTGCTCTTGCAGAGGACCTGAGTTCGAATCCCAGATCCCACATGGCAGCTACAAACTGTCCTTAACTCCAATTCCAGGTGAATCTGAAGCTTTCTTATGACTTCTACAGCATTGCATGACACAGGTGCACTCATATACATGCAGGCAATACACTCATACACATAAAATAATAATAATAATGATAATAATAATAAAAGTTTTGAAGTTCTCTTAGTGTAGAAAGGGCATCACTGTAAAAAGTATTCCCTGCTGTCTGAACTGCTGACACTCAGCTTGCTGGTTGGTAATTGAAGCCAAACAAGCCGAGCTTACTAAGTAAGCTGTTTTGCATTAGAGAGGGATTTAGCTGGTATCATCCACTATTACAGGGTAGCGATGAAAGATTCTCAACTCTAACAGAAAGTTATCTAGGAGAAAATTTTGATCACTGAAGAGGGAACATCCTGAAATCCTGAGATATAAACAGAGTAACTGCAAAAAGAAAAGAAAACTAAAGAAAAAATTCTGAGTGAACATCAGAAAGGAAAACGTAGTAGTTTCATGACCAAAAGATTTGTCCTTTAAGTCGATACCCAAGAGCATCCCGTCTGAAGTGCAGCACAGTGGGACATAACACCAGGTTCTGATGAGGAACCCAGAGTTAGAATCCTGTCTCCAGGGGAGTCTAATTAACTTCTCTGCCATGCTTCAAGAGGGTGTGGTGATAATTAAATTATGTAATATGTGCAAATTTGTTAGCATATTAAATACCTTTAAATGTTAAATATTATTATTATCAATTGTCTTTGTTTTTAATAAGTATTCTCTCAGGGCTTAGGTGGAGGTGTGACTTTATAGTTATAATCCTTTCTCAGTTAAACTAAGTGACCTAAGACTATTTCTTCCTCTTTATTTTCAGAAAGTGTGCTTCAAGAGCAGTGGAAAGAGCACTGAACTGGAAAGCTGAGAAAATGTTTACCATCCTCACTGTCTGAAAGCAGAACCTTGGACTTAAGTCTCTGTTTCTCGGACTATATTCAAGAACAATAAAATTGACCCAAGTCTCTGATTCTTAAAGATTAATCTCTTCCAGAAAATTTACATTAAGAAAATAGTAATTTTCTTTTCAAACATTTCATCTAGCTTCCTCCTATCAATAACACTTAAATTGCATTTCATAATTGAAAGATAGAATTGATATATGAGAAAAATAATGAAGCAAATACGGCATTTAAGTGAAAAACAGTATACTAATAATTGTTCTAAGAACCTCATTTGTTGTGAAATTATCTAATATGTCTATAAAAGTGAATCATTCAGTTTTCATAAACAAAGACTGCTCACAGCACAGGCTCAAACTACTGTCCATCCATACAGACCCTTATGCTTGCTTCTCTATGCCCAGTTTGTAATCAGTGACTGAGTTTTTGCTGTTGTTGTTGTTTTTCACTTTTTTATTGAACTTTTAAAATTTCATACATTTCCCACTCAAATTCAGACCCCCTCCACACACATGCCTTTGCCCTATCCATCCCCCCGACCAAATCCTAGAAACTGTGCCGCACATGCTGCTTCCTTTTCATTCAGATGTTTGTACCCAAGTGTCTTTCAGTGTAAATGCATCCACTGGAGTCTAGTCAGCCCATCCAATACTTGTATGTAAGTCATACTCTCCCCCACCCAGAAGCAATAAGTCTTAAATCTCAAGCTAGTGCTCGCCTATTTCTTACCTCCCCTTTGGGCCCTTGTTTCATTGAGCTGACATGGGTCCCTCACTCGATGCCACCACTGCCATAGGCTCACATGAGCAACCCTCCAGTGGCCTGTAAGCCTCCACCTCCTTATGTTCATGAACCAGGCCTGGCTCTTACAATCTTTCTGCCTCCTCTTCCCAGATGCTCCCTGAGGCTTGGGTTGGTGAGGTTCCATATAGGAGTCCCATCCAACACTCTACAGTCTCTCCAAAACTTGGCCAGCTGTGGCCTCTGTGTCTATCACACTCTGATATACATGGAAATCTCACTGTGAGGGTTGAGGGGGTGCATTAGCCCTTTCTCTACCCCTTATTCTGCTATGTTCCATGATCCTTGGTTGTGGAGCTTCAACTACAAATATGTCACCTAGTATTGGGCATCTCCTAGGTGTATGTTCTCTATGCTCGATCAGATGTACAGCTCTGCAGTAGCCTCCATCTGATGCAAAAAGAAACTTCTTTGATGAGTGCTGTATGGCATGTTTGTCTCTCTAAGGGAGGTATCTTCTGTCAGGCACCAGGTTCCCTACCAACCAAGCAGCTCCTAGGTATACATATGCATTAATGTTCAGACACCCTACATGCATCTCTTAAAGGGTTTCTGGGGCATTATTTTCCCTCTAGGTTTTCTAGACCCCCACGATTCACTCATCTCTACTCTTTTCTCTCATCTGATTGAGTTTATTTAAAAGTATTTTTATGGGCCTGGAGAAATGGTTCAGTGGTTAGGAGCAGTGACTTCTCTTCCAGAGCACCCGGCTTTGATTCCCAGCAACCATATGCTAGTTAACAAGTGTCTGTAACTCCAGTTCCAGGGGATCTGATACCCTTTTCTGACCTCCGCAGCCATTGCATAATATGGGTGCACTTACATATGTGCAGGCAATACACTCACACCCACAAAATAATAAATGAACTGTTTAAAAAAATAAGAGTTTTTTTTATATATACTTACCTGGAAGGAGAGATAGCATAATCATAAAGGTTGTTTCCCCAGAGTGAGGCTTCTAAATTGCATTCCAAGTGTGCTGACACCTGAAATTTCCCCAGTTGTGGAAAATTTGACTGCAGAGTATGTGGGAGTGAGGACTGTGTTCACATCCTTCCACTTTCAACATAAAAGGTATTCCTGTATTCAAGTACACTGAAAATTTGTTTCAATTGTTTGACACATGATGATTGAATATATGTATGGGATACAGTGTGATAAATGATACATATATAATATGTAATCAACATTTCCCTCTTCTTAATTATTCATTATTTCCTTATGTTGAAATGTTTTGACTTTCTCTTCTACATCTTCATAAAATCTGTAAAATGCTGTTATAAATTATAGTCCATCCTGCAGTACTGTAGTACACCAAAATTCAATCTCCCTATGTATTTATATTTCAGCCTATCTTTTCCAGGCTCCCTCTCTTAGCCACTGAGCTGCTCTTAGTTTGAATTGAAGCTGTTAGCTTCTACATGTAAGTAACAAAACAGAGTGTATATCTACATGTGCTTTGTTTTAGTTAACATTGTGTCCACCAGTTTCTATGAAAGTGGCCACAAATGACAGACTTTCATTTCGATTTCTCACTGAGAAATATTCTAATGTACCCACAAACCACATTTCCTTCATGGATTCATTCATTGATGAGGACTTGGGTCTTTTTGATTATATAAGGAATCCTTACTGTTTCAGTTACACTGATTTATATTTCCACCAATAGTTTCTAAGTGTTCACCCTGCTACACATTCTCAGCATGATTTGCTATTTTTTGCCTGATGCTTTATATTTTCCTTAGGGTTCTTTTTTTTTTTTTTTTTTTCATTTTGACAAAGGTTGTTTTTGCTGTGACTCTCTCTAGCACCACAACAGTAAGTCACAGAAAAAGCATCCGGCTGCCTGCTTTGTGCTCCAACCCACACAGATTGTGATGCATGTGATTGCTTGGTGGTTCCTAGGTGCCCTGTGAAAGCAATTGGACCATGGAGCACACAGAGGTGGCAAGGAGCTCTGTATGAGTCATCCACATCCTGGGGTGGGTGGGGCTCCTGTTGGCAGCCAGTGGTCACTTTCACCCGTGTCCTCTATGAAACTCTGTTGGGTCAGTGAGAGGTATACTCATCTGTGAGTGACAGAAAACCCAGGACAGTCTTGGTTTTGTATGAGAAGATGGAGGCCAGGGATGTGACTCAGTTGGTAAAGTACTCATTTTTTAAGTTAATGTGAATGAAAAGATAGGATATTCAACAAGTAATTTATATTTAAAATTTTTTTCAGGGTCTGTGATCTCATTGTAATGAAATAAAGTCAAATATGGAATCTGTATACTTATTTTATAGTGTTAAGCTTGGAGAAAACTATTTCAAGCTGTTAAGTTGGTGGAAGGAGAGATGCACAGTAGATTTTATTTATCAATAAAACAAATGAACAAAATATCCTAGAAATTTAATGAATAAAAAAGCATACATCAAAACTAATGCATCCACAATTAGCATTTAATTTTTAGAACACATTAGTGTTCTAATTGCAGAATGACACTTGAGACAGTAAATTCTATTCACCCTATAGAGCATATACAGCAGTTAAGATACCTGGGTTTTCTTTTAAAATATTTGTACACAGAGCACTTTTTCTATTATGAGATTTTGAAATGAATTAATAAGGTACTATTGCAAGACACTGCAGGAGCACAATTATGCCCAGTGACTTAGAAATATACATTATGATTAAGCGCAGGTAAAGACAAAGACACCTCAATTTCTGAAGTCACCTTTTGCCTTATCTGTAGTTTGTAGAAAAACAGTAAGTATAAAGGTAAGGAACAAAATCACATCTGACTTAGTTGGCCATTAGCATCTCAGTGAGCAAGTTTAGCCTATTCATGTGTTTTTCTCTCTAGTCCTTTTTCTAGATCACAAGTTACAACACATACTCTGTGACTTTATATTCTTCCTGTTGTAAAGAATTCTGAGTAAACTCTTAAAAGGTATTGAGTCCACACTAGTCACTGAACCTATCATGTGTGTTCTGGTATAGTCTCTGGAACCCATGCTCAGGTGGCTCTTCTCTCACTCTTCTCCTGAGTCCGAGAACATTCTTTTCTTTTTTTAATAATTTATTGAGAATTTCACATATCCACATAAGGTTTGATCAAATCCATGCCCACTCCCTCCCCTCCAACTCCTCCCATATCTCCCCATCACTTTTTTCTGATAACTTCATGTATTCTTTCTTATTTTTTTAAAATGGATCTTTTTGCTAATGTAACATTTCCCCCCCCCCACCTAAAGAGATAACCCCAAAATATTTTAAGGATTAGATAAAATCTCCCAAGCACTTTCGACATTTTTGGCCTTTGGAATGGAGTATATTGCTAAAAAGCCCAAGGACACTGTGAGTTTTAGCCAAGAAACTGGGTAGTTTCTTTGAGGTCTTTTTTTTTTTACCATAACTACCTAGCCTATTCCTACCTCCTTTTCTCATCACACCATCCTCTGTATACATATGTACAACTTGCAGATAGGGAATCAGGATGCAGACAGCTCTGGCTTCTTCCATGCTGTGTTTAACAGGGACAGGTGAGGCAATTGGGATACCCCCTCAGTGGATCAAACTAAATGACTCCCAAATTGCATAACTCTTAACTGTAGGGAGAAAAGAAGGTCCTTGACTGGTGAATAGGAGATGTGAAGGAGAAGTAAAAGCAAGAGTAATTAGCATTATAAGTTCTAGACAGGGAACTAGAAAAAAGGCAGAACAGGACAATTTTCAAATATTCATATGAGAGTCCACTGGAATTTCTTGACAAGGGCTTCCCAAAGCATCCCTCTTTTGGGTTCCAACTTATTTTTCTTTTGTCTGCCAAGGCTGGGCTTGAGAGTGATGGATTCAGGATTTGCTTTCAGGAATTTTGATAGCTGTTGGAGTGGTTAGAATCAGTGTCAGTTCCCTCTCAAAGCCTTTTGGATAAGGAGGAGGAAACAAATTTATCCTTCATTTGAGAACAATAACAGGTTGTCTCCCTTAGCTACAGGTGGGCACTATAGTATTGCAGACCAAGATTTGAAGTCTTATAATTGAATGGCACTTTCTGATTAGGAACAAAATCATCATTGAGAAATAATTGTCTAAAGATATTTTTATATAGACTTAAGCATACTGTCTGGTAAGTGTAGTCTCTTAAACACTTAAAGAAATACACTGATGACTTTACTCTTTGGTTATACTTTCCTTTGGGGTGTTTAAGACCATACAGCTGGCCCAAATAAATCAATTTATTTTTACACTTAAGGTCATTTGAGGATCTGTTCCTCTGGGGTCACATGGGCTTGGAAAGATCCCCTGGATTGTTTCTTTTACCAGTTCCATCTATGTGAAGATAAGTCAAAGATCCTGCTTGACCATGGCTGGCTTCGCTTGGAAGCGTGGAGGAGATGTTTCCTCTGAGTTGACTCTCCTTTTTGTAGACTGGACACTGGTTCAAGTCCATCTGGTAGGGTCTCCATGGCCTCCGTGAACAAGAGGACAGGTGACTCAGCGCAATTACAGGACATTTTGAGGGAGTGCCCTGGAACTTAGTCTACCTTGGAGGGCAAGGGTCAAAAACTGTCCTTTAAATCCTTCTTACCAGATTAGTATAGCCCTCAAAGTATGGCTGTTAAACATCCAAGAAGGTTAGTTCCACCAGTCTGGTACTCTTAATTACCATGTGCTATGTAGATAATGCTTGGGTAAAAAAAACAAATATTCTCAGATAAACCTTGATTAGACACATATTTTATTCTTTACTGAGAACATTCTTGAGAATCCAATTTAGAATAGAGAGGTATCATAGACTACTCAATGTATTGGAAGATCAATGTGATTTGTGTCTTATAAATTGGGCTAAAGTACTCCTACAGTAAAGACTAGCAATATTTATCTTACAATAGCTTTAAAATAGACAATTATGCATATGTACAAGCCACTTGACCACCTTCTGAAATAAAAAGCATGCACCCTTTATAGGGAAATCTTGACACTTAGATTGTCAACTGTGAAATGTTTATAATACCTACTATCCTATAAAAGCATAAATAGAAATTATAACCACAAGAAAAGTGAGTCAATAATCAGACATAGACATGATGATGACATAGTCAGTATTAATTGCTTTTGGAAAAACTTATGATATGAAAACATAAACATGAACAAAATGTGCTTTTGGAAGCCCATGTCAAGAAATTCCAATGGACTCTCATATGAATATTTGAAAATTGCCCTGTTCTGACTTTTTTCTAGTTCCCTGTCTAGAACCTGTAATGCTAATTACTCTTGCCTTTACTTCTCCTTCACATCTCCTATAGCTCTATTGGGAGCTATTAATCCATTATGTACATAAGCTGTGGCAGTCTTGTTTACTGAGTTTGTGTTTTGCACACCAGTACCTAATCTGCCAAATCAGGAGGAATGTGTTTATATGGTGGAGCTCACAAAACAAGTATTTGACCACTCCTTGACCCTCAGATACAGGTGGGAAAAACAGCTGTTGAAACTAATTGAGTTCTTCTGTATAAAAAGGTGGAGCCCTGGCTGTGGTCTCTACTGACAGTCCTCCCAAGTATCTTTTTCTCTGTCTCTTGTTTTTTCTTTCAATCCTCACTCCCCCTTTCAGGTACTGTCTTGGCCAGCTGGCACTGGCAGTCAAGGACTTGCTTTTCCCTTTAAAGATAAGAGTTATGCAATTTGGGAGTCTTTTAGATAGACCTACTGAAAGGGTACTCCAATTGCCTCACTCTGCATCCCTGTTCAGCATGGAAGAAGCCACAGTGGTCTGCATCCCAATTCCCTACCAATAATTTGGGT